GCTGATAAACTGAGGAGTGGAAGTTTAAATAGGCAGCTGCCTTCTTTGTACCATTTATCAAAATTCCTTCTGGCAAAGGGAATATATAAGATCCTTAAATAACTCAAGTAACCCCGAGCTAAAAAGGTGCTGTGTTTTTCTGCATGTTAGATTACATTCATTGTGAAACTTGAGGTAAGGAGCTGTGTCCAGAATACTTGAGAATCAACATTTTCACACGGAATCAGTGTATAACTCTGAATCATACAGAAATATTTAGTGATACTATATTCTATTTACTAAGATCATAATTTTTATAATGATGTAAAACTATATTCAATAAGAGGTGGATAAAATGAAGAAATTTATTTGTACCTGGGACAGAAGTGAAGATGGGAGAATATTGCAAATTGTGGTAGGTTTAGTTGTGAATGACCATGAGCTTGGAGTTGATTATTTTTTAAGGTAGATCTGTGGAATCATTAGGTTTTAGCTTATCTTTTTATTTAGAATAAAGAAATATATTACATAATTTCCAAAGCAGATTAAAGGGTATGGTAGATTTAATGGAGAAGTAAATAATTTCTAGGTTTAAAACAATAGTCACTATAAGTCTTTACACAAATGTTACTACCTTTGATCTTTCCTGACCATCTATATAACACCTTACCCTTACTCTCTATCTCCCTTCCCGGCTTAATTTTTCTTGAATGGTCTATATCAAATACAACATACCAAATATTGAAATCACTTCCTTTATTATTTGTATTCCATCCTTCAGCCTCCACTAGCCTATGTGCTCCATTGGAAGGTACTTTGGACTTGATTATTGTATAATTTGTCTAGTGCTGTATCTCCAGTACCTAGCAAATAATTGATACTCAATAAATATCTGTTAAGTGAGTGAATTGTTAGAAAGTAAGGTCGTTTTAAATTTTGCTATTGTAAATATGTATATACATCCTTGAACAGTTTTATTTGTATTGTTGATTGTTTACTTTGGATTAATTTCTTTTTTTTAAAAAATATATTTTATTGATTTTTTTACAGAGAGGAAGGGAGAGGGATAGAGAGTTAGAAACATCGATGAGAGAGAAACATTGATCAGCTGCCTCCTGCATACTCCCTACTGGGAATGTGCCCGCAACCAAGGTACATGCCCTTGACCGGAATCGAACCTGGGACCCTTGAGTCCGCAGGCCGATGCTCTATCCACTGAGCCAAACCGGTCAGGGCTGGATTAATTTCTTGAAAATAAAATTATTAAATCAAAAGTTTTCATTTTTAAAGCTTTGGACGATATCTGAACAGATTAACCATCAGTAAGATTGTATGAATTTAATTTTTTTTTTTAATCCTTAACCGAGGATATTTTTCTATTGATTTTTAGAGAGAGTGGAAAGGATGGGGAGAGACAGAAACATCCATGTGTAGAGAAACATCTACTGGTTGCCTGCCGCATGCGCCCTGACCAGAGATGGGGATCAAGCTGCAGCTCGTAAGGGCCCTTAACTGGGTTTGAACCCAGAACCCTTCAGTCCATTTGGCTCTCTGTTCATTGAGTCAAACTAGCTAGGACTGAATTTAATTCTCATCCCTTACTTGTTTACTTCATCCTTGACAAAATGCTCAGTACTATTTTAAGAAAACTTTTTTCAGTTCTAAATCTGGTAGGTACAGGTTTTACAGAATTTTTTATTTTTAGTCCTAGTAACGAAATAATACATGCTCATTCTAGAAAACCTTGGAGGAAACAATAGTACAAAAGGGAAAAAAAAAATCTAAGTATCCTTAATTCTACTACTCAAAGAACCATTGCTAACATTTTGGTTTGTTTCTTTCTATTCTTTTTTTCTTGCAAATATTTGTAGGTGTACTTTAAGACATTTAAAAACCAAAAACAATAAAACCCCAACAAATTCATTATACTTGTCTTATTTGGGAAATTTTTTTTTTGAGGATGAAAAGTCTACTCAGATAAGTTTACCTAATAAAGAGATTTATTATAGGGGAAATAATTACTGATAGTTCCTTGGCTTTATGGGGAAGGAGCCATTGACCTCTTTGGGGTCAATGTCTCCTGTCCATGGCATTAAGAAAGTTATCCCACATCTTGCAAAAAGAGTGAGGCACTTCTGTTTTCTTCCAAAGCACTGTGTTTATACCTATTTTAAAGTAGTTGCAACTTTGGGTGGTTGCGACATGGGATTTCCTTATGGGAGTTCCTTATGCTCTTGCTGCTTTTATATTATGTTCAAAATTGTCCATAATCAAATGTTTAAAACAAAAAAGTAAAAAGAAGAGATAGAAACATTGGGGGGAAAATTGTATTTACTATGCATATACTGTTTATTTCCCTGCCATTTTTGAATAATATGTAAGTATTTTACTATGCTTGGTCTTGATATTTTTAATGTGTAATTAGTAGATTATTCCCCATTTTTTTTACTTTTGTGAATAAAGCTTAGCGTTTGGGGGATTTTTTTAATGCTTCTGTCGAATTTTTCTTGAGGCTAAAGTTATTGAATTAAATTGTTGAATTAAGGTCCCATTTACCCTTGGTATCTATTACTTTGTAGAACTTTGGGCAGCCCCCTGATCATCAGCTACTCCTGATAGTTCCCACTTGCTGTTTGACACAGTGCTGTCATTCTTTGCTAAGGTTCCCTCCCTTCTTTTTATTTTTTGAAATAAAAACATCTCAAAATTAAACAAAATATTATTTCCCAGTTTCATTTTTCAGAGGCAACGGCTATTATCACCTCAGAGTACAATTTTTTTTTCTTCTTAATGGTGAATATGGCTTTTATATTTTTTCTCCTTGTACTAGTCATTGCATTTTCAAATTCTTTACATTAATTGATTTTATTAAAAATGACTTTTGTATCCTGGCTAATTTTGCTCAATGGTTAGAGCATTGGCCTACAGGTTCGATTCCTGGTCAAGGGCATGTACCTCAGTTGCAGGTTCAGTCCCTGGCCACCATCAGGTGATAGAGGGAGGCAGCCAATTGATGTCTTTCTCACGTTGATGTTTCTCTCTTCCTCCCTCCCTCCCTCCCTCCCTCCCTCCCTCCCTCCCTCCCTCCCTCCCTCCCCTCACTCTCTTCCAAAAATGGATGGAAAATAGCCCTAGCTGGTTTGGCTCAGCCTATGGACTGAAGGGTCTTGGGTTCAATTCTGGTCAAGGGCACAAGACCGTGATGTGGGCTTGGTCCCCAGTAGGGGGCATGCAGGAGGTAGCCGATCAATAATTCTCTCTCATCACTGATATTTCTATCTCTCTCCCCTTTCCTCTCTGAAATCAATAAAAACATATTTAAAAAATTAAAAATGGAAGGAAAATAAATAAAATGAATTATGAAATATTGCAAGCATATGAAAGTGTAAATTGTAACAAACCCCCACGTACTCAGCGCCAAGTTGAAAAAATAAAACACTGCAGATATAATTAGTAAAGCACTATTTATTTATTTTCCTCACCTTAGGACAGCGGTTCTCAACCTGTGGGTCGCGACCCCTTTGGCGGTTGAATGACCCTTTCACAGGGGTCGCCTAAGACCATCCTGCATATCAGATATTTACATTACGATTCATAACAGTAGCAACATTACAGTTATGAAGTAGCAACAAAAATAATTTTATGGTTGGTTCACAACATGAGGAACTGTATTTAAAGAGCCAGAAGGTTGAGAACCACTGCCTTAGGATATGTTTGTTGCTTTTAGAAAGGGGGAAGGAAGAGAGAAGAGAGAGAAACATTGGTTGCCTCCAGTACACGCCCTGACTGGGTATCAAACCCGCAGCCTGGGTATGTGCTCTGACTGGGAATCAAACCCTCGACCTTTTGGTGTACGGGACGATGCTCCAACCAATTGACCCACCTGGCCAGGGCTAAAGCACCCTTTACACCCTACATTCTTTTGCAGGTAGAACCTTATCGCAAATTTTATATTTGTCAATTCATTTTGTGTCTATGCTTTTGCTATGTTTTGTATGTGTTCTTAAATAGCAAGTTTATATGAATTATATAACTTTCTTTATAAGCTTCGTGTTTTTCTTTTTCTTTTGTGTAGAATACTTTGTTACATATTTTATTAAATATTAGCACATCATATTCTTTGAAATAGTTGTTCTAATTTATAATGCCACGAATACTGCATGAGAATTGTTTTACATTCTTACCAACAACTGGTATTATCAGATTTATTCATTTTTATTAAAACTTTTGTTTTAATCATATGTTTATTTTATAATTTGGAGAAAAGCTTCTCAAGGATGTGCCATGATACCTTTTAGGTTAAGTAATTGCCACATGGTTGTCCACTTATTTCTCAATGAACTACTCTCCTAGTGTGCTATGACAGCGGGTTTTATTGAAGCTAAAATCTTGGATACCTTGAGATAATGGGATTTCTTTCTGTTCTTTTAAAGAACTAAAATGAAAATTTTTATAGTATCTATATCTCTCTATAAAAGCCTAAGCAACCATTACGACCAGTCGACTGGTTGCTATGATGCGCACTGACCACCAGGGGGCAGGCGCTCAATGCAGGAGCTGCCCCCTGGTGGTCAGTGTGCTCCCACAGCGGGAGTGCCACTCAGCTGACCAATGTGAGCCAGACGCTGGGCTCACGGCTGGCGAGCGCAGCTGTGGTGGCGGGAGCCTCCCCCACTCCCGTGGCAGCGCTACCAAGTACAGCAACGGCAGGCGCAGTGTGGCCGGGGTGAGCGGGAGTGGCACAGCACCTGGCCCGGGCTCGGACTCTTCCCCAGCCACCTGTCGCTTCGCGCACTGCTACAACCCTTGGGTAATGTTGGACTGCCGGGGATGGGGCTGAAACTGGCAGTCCGACATCCACCAAGGGGTCCCAGATTGCGAGATGGCACAGGCCAGTCTAAGGGACCCCACCAGTGCATGAATCCATGCACTGGGCTTCTAGTATTATATAAAAGTAAAAAGTTTATACTGCCAGAATGTTTGACACTTCATTATTGTATTCTGTGTGTCTCCTTTTCTAGGCTCCGAGCTCTGTCCAGTGGTGGGAGTATTACATCCCCTCCTCTTTCTCCAGCTTTGCCAAAGTATAAATTAGCAGACTATCGTTATGGCAGAGAAGAAATGTTAGCACTTTTCCTTAAAGACAACAAGGTAAGAAAGGAAAGAATTAAGAATTATTCTGAATGAGTTGTTGGGTTATGTGCAGTGATGTATTGATATATGAAAGACCCATGGTTTTCCCTTTCTACCTTACCTCTTTTTTTCTGCTTTTGAAACTATAATAGTTAACAGGTGGTTGTTTTTTAATCCTCACCTGAGGATATTTTTTCCATTGATTTTCAGAGTGGAAAGGAGGGTTGGGGTGGGGTGGAGAGAGAGAGAATGGGGGTTGGGGGGAGATCAATTGGTTGCCTCCTGCAAATGCCCCCTGACCGGGTCCTGGGATTGAACCTGTAACCCAGGTACATGCCCTTGATCAGAATCAAACCGAGACCCTTCGGTGCGCAAGCTGACCCTCTAACCACTGAGCAATGCTGGCCAGGGCAACAGAGGCTCTTCTAAGTGTAATGTATTCTTTTTTTTAAAAGAGAAGGCCTATGATTTCAGTATAAGATCGACAGCTTCATGCAAACAGGAAGAATAGTCAACACTTAATGTTTTGTCTAACTAGTTTCCTTTTAACCTTTTATTCATGTCTATTTCTACTCCAGTTTGATGGCTGAGAAAGGAAGAATTTCTCCCTTCTTTTTATTGCACCTCTTATTCTTCTTTCCAGTTAGGGAGAAGAGCAGTTGTTTCTCTTTTTCTTTCCCTTTTGAGTTAAATGTAAAATTTTTAGTGGAGAGAAAATCTTAAAATGTAATGCCACATTTGTGTCACTTACAAATGATCAAAACTCAAACAGTATTAAATACGCTTTTATTATTTGACTAATAAGAAATAATATTTTCTATTTCAAAGCATACTTTGTTTTTAATTAGAGGATTGAATCTCAAATGTTAATGGTTGCTACAGACAGACACAGTTGCTTGTACAACTCTTCTTATCACCTTGTGCCTTGAGTTCAGTGTAGGGATTTTTACTCTCCCACTGTGTACTCTGGGTTAACAGAGTTATTGCTGTATCAAATCTGAAAGTGGTGGCTCTATGGGAGGGTTGGGAACATAATTGGGGTTTTTATATTTGATCCTTGAGAATGTGTAAGTACCACTAAAGTTAATTGTGGCTGAGTAAGCTTTTTATTCATATCCTATATAATAAAAGCTAAATATGCTAAGTGTCCGGTCAACCAGTCGGCCATTCAATTAAAGCATAATATGCTGATGATATGCTAAGGCTGCTCTACTGCTCACTATGACGTGCACTGACCATCAGGGGGCAGATGCTCCGACTGGTAGGTTAGTTTGCTGCTGGGGTCCAGCCAATTGGGACTGAGCACGACGGGCCGGACACGCCCTGGAGCCCTCCTGCGGTTTCTCCCCGGCTAGCCAATCTCCCGAGTCTCTCCCCGGCTTTGATTATGTACCAGTGGGGTCCCTCAGCCTGGCCTGTGCCCTCTTGCAATCCAAGACCCCCTGGGGGATATTGGAGAGCCATTTTTGGCCTGATCCCCCAGGTCAGGCTGAGGGACCTCACTGGTGCACTAATTTGTGCACCAGGCCTCTAGTTTATAATAATTACCAACAGATAAAAACAGTAGAGTTCTTTCTTGTTTTATCTTCTTGACTTGGAGGGATAGCATTAATCTCATGGTCATGTGTTTGGTCAAACAGATACCTTCAGACCTTCTGGATAAAGAATTTCTGCCTATCCTGCAGGAGGAGCCTCTGCCACCGTTGGCTCTTGTACCCTTTACAGAAGAAGAACAGGTTTGTGCCTAGCTTTGAGCCTCAAGTCAAACCCTTGTTTCTTTCCAGTGAGGCATAAAAATAGGTGGTTAGTACTTAGACTCTATGGAGTATACTTCGTCCCCACAGGCCTGCTTCCTTTTTATGTTTCCTTGGCATGTGGATGCTTGTCTTACTTGACTAGATTCTGCTTAGATCTGAAATTGGTGAGTATTATGTAGAGATAAGGAAATGTTTCTAGATCCTTAAGGACATTGGGAACCATCCTTTAGAATTTATTCGAATAGAGAAAAAGTTATTTTTTGGGGGGAGGTCTTGCTTTTCAGAAAAATACAGCTTTTGAGAAGTAATTGGCAACCTGAATTTTCACAAGTAAATTCTACCATTACAGAAAAATGTAGATTTTTAGCTTAAAATGTGCTTTAAAATACTCTACTGTCACCATCATTAAAAACAAAAAAAGTTTTTGTTGATTTTAGAGAGAGATGAAGGGAGAGGGAGAGAGCGATAGAAACATTGGTAGAGAGAAACATGGGTTGGCTGCTTCCTGCATGCCTCCTCACCGGGGATTGAGCCTGCAACCTGGGCATGTGCCCTGACTGGGAATCCAAACGTGACCTCCTGGTTCTTAGGTCGGCGCTCAGCCACTGAGCCACACAGGCCTTGCAGCAACATTTTAAATGATATTGTGAGAAAATTTGATTTTCAGGCTGTAGAGTAACAGATTTTGTGTTGTCCTATTATAGTCCAAAGATAAATAAGAGTTTCTGATGCAGCGGTTCTCAACCTGTGGGTCGCGACCCCTGAAAATACATCCTGCATATCAGATATTTACATTACGATTCATAACAGTAGCAAAATTACAGTTATGAAGTAGCAACAAAAATAATTTTATGGTTGGGGGTCACCACAACATGAGGAACTGTATTAAAGGGTCGCGGCATTAGGAAGGTTGAGAACCACAGTTTCAAGGACTATGGTGATTGTAGTAAAACGGATAAATAAGAGCTTTGTTGGAATGTTGGAATGCCACTTTAATGAAGAATCATTACTTTAAAAAAACACACAGCTTTATTGAGGCATAATTCACATGCCATAAAATTTACCCTTTAAAGTATACAATTCAATGATTTTGGCATTTTCACAGAGATGTATAACCATTACCACTCTCTAATTCCAGAACATTTTTATAATTACTTTTGTGACAACCCTGAATGTTTCTTCTACACCAAGCATGTCAAACTTGCGGCCGGAGGGCCCCTTGTGGCATGGAGCCCGCCGGCCGCAAGTTTGACATGCTTGCCTACACGTTTGCCATATTGTATATGAGGAAGTCACTCTATTAAAAAAGAAAAGCTTATTAAAAGAACTCTATTCCAACTGTGTTAAATTCTAAGAAAGGTGTGATGTTGATCTTTAGTTATTTTCAGCACCATACTTCATAAGCAATTAAAAAAGACGTGTGTGTGTATGTGTGTGTGTATCGTGTGTTAATCCTCACCCAAGGATATTTTTTCCATTGATTTTTTTTTTTTTCTTTTAGAGAGAGTGAAAGGGAGGGGGAGGGAAAAGAGAGAGAAACATTGATGTGAGAGAAATACATCTGTTGGCTTGCCGCAGTTGCTCCAACTGCGGCTGGGGATCAAGCCTGCAACCTAGGCACGCGCCCCTGACAGGAATCGAACCCAAGCCCTTCAGTTCTTGGGCTGATGCTCTATCCACTGAACCAAACTGGCTAGGATTCATAAGCAATTTTTGTTTCGTTCATGGTTTCTTCTAAATCAGACTAGTTTTGTGTTTATTTTTGAAACCCAGTATTTACCATCTAGGGTCATCGGCAGATATTTTCATTGATCAAATGGTATTTATTACTGTAAAGATTACACAGGAAAGAAAGGGTCCTGTCTTGAGCGATTGCTGAAAAGTTCCTTGTAAAAAAAAAAAAATTGACATTTGGCTCTACAGGGTGGGGCAAAAGTAGGTTTACAGTTATGAGTACATAAAACACAGAGTTTATTCTTGTAATATTTATTATTGTATTATTTTCCATAGGAACAACTGTAAACCTACTTTTGCCCCACCCTGTATTTTGGTTTTTATTTTTCTTAAAAATATTTTATTAGGAAGTATTTCAAATATGTAAGTATAGAGCATAATATTACAAACACCAGTGTATTAAAATTCAGATATACCAAATCTTAAAATTATGACATATTTGTGTCTTTGTTTTAAGAAATACAATTTCTCATATAGTTGAGATGTCTGGGGTATACCCCTTCCTTCACAGAGATTACTATGAATTGAGTTACTTTTCTCATTCATGTTTTAATCTTCTCATTACATATTTGTATATCCATAGTCTTTAAATGTTTTATTTTATAGGGTTATAAATTTTATTTTGAAGATAGCATACTGTAGTGTTTATTTTTCAGCTTTTTTTTTTTTTTTTTAAATCCTCACCCAAGGATGTTTTTTTCTGTTGATTTCTGGATAGAGTGGAAGAGAGGGAGGGGGGGGGCAGAGAGAGAGAGACAGAGAAACAGCGACATGAGAGACACATATCGATTGGTTGCGTCCCACATTCGCCCCTTACTAGAGCTGGGGAACTTGTAACCAAGGTATGTGCCCTTGACCAGGACTCGAATCCTGGAGGCTGTAACCATTGAGCAAAACCAGCAAGGGTCTTCAACTTGATTTTCATTCAATAATGATTTTAAATTTATGTTAATACACATAGCTTTAGTTCATTCATTTCTGCTGCATAGTATTCTGTCTGCAAGAAAATCCAGTTTTTAAAATCTCTGGTTGAATATTTAGGTTGTTTTGAGTATTTGTTATTATATATTATGTTGCTGTAAAAATTCTTATAATGTGTTATAAAAATGAAATCTTTGGGCTTTGGTTCTTCACATTTTTTACAATGTTACTGGGTGTTACCACATTACTTTCTATAGGGATTTAAGCCAGTTTGCACTCCCACCAGCAGTGAAGGTGAGGTCTTATTTATTGTATTTTATTTTTTTGTTAATCCTCACCTGAGGATATTTTTCCCAGTGATTTCTTTTTTTTTTTTTTTTAAGAGAGAGTAGGAGGGAGGAGGCAGGGAGGAGAGCTGGAGAAAGAGAGAGAGAAAGAGATTGAGAGAGAGAGGGAGAGAGAGAGAGAGAGAGAGAGAGACAGACAGACAGACAGACAGACAGTCAGACATACCTATTGATTGCCTCCTGTACACGCTCTGACTGGGGCTGGGGATCGAACCTTCAATCCAAGTACATGCCCTTGACTGGGAATCTAACCTGAGACTGTTTGGTGCTTGGGCCAGTGCTCTAACTACTTAGAAACACCAGTCAAGGCAAGAGGTCATTTTTATGCAACCCCTTGGTTGTTGGTTTTTAAATTTTGGCCTAAATGATGGCTGTGATAGTTGTCTTTAATTTGTATTTCACTGATTACTAGTGAGGTTGAGCATCTTTTCATATGCTTATGAGCCATTATCATTTTTTATTTGTCTGTGTCCTTTGTGCAAAGAACATTAGATTGTTTTTCTTATTGATTTTATGATTTCTTTATATATTCATTAAAACCAATAAAATACTTTATTTTTATTATAAAAGGTACTCAAATTAATTGCAGAAAATGCCAAAAGGTATAAAGAAGAAAATCTCATCTATAAACTTGCAATGTAGAGATAATTGTTAACATTTAATTTGTTTTATTGCCGTCTGTGTTCTTTGTATATCTTTAGTTGTCAAAATATACCAACAGTCAGGATCCAACGGCATATTTCAAGGGTTACACTATGACCAAGTAGGATTTATCCCTCGAGTGGAAGGGTGGTGCAACATAAGAATATCAACATAAAGCTTCACATTAATAGAATGAAGGAGAAAACCCATTTGATCATCGTAATTGATGCAGAAAAACATAGGACAAAATTCAACACCCTTTCATGATGAAACACTCAGTGATCTAGGAATAGAAGGGAACTTCATCAATATGATTAAGGTCTTTTATGAAAACCCACAGCTAATATTATGCAGTCATGTATCACTTAATGGTGGGAACATGTTCTGAGAAATTCATTGTTAGGTGATATTGTCATTGTGGGAACATCATAGAGTGCACTTACACAACCTAGGTGGTGAAGCCTATTACATACGTAGGCTGTGTGGTCTAGCCCAGTGGTCGGCAAACCGCGGCTCGCGAGCCACATGCGACTCTTTGGCCCCTTGAGTGTGGCTCTTCCACAAAATACCGACTTCTGCGCATGGGTCGCTAAGTTTCAATCACACTGTACGTGTGCGCCCGCACGTGGTATTTTGTGGAAGAGCCACACTCAAGGGGCCAAAGGGCCTCATGTGGCTCGCGAGCCACAGTTTGCCGACCACGGGTCTAGCCTATTGCTCATAGGTTACACAAACCTGTACAGCATTTTACTGTACTAAATACTGCAAGCAATTGTAACACAATGGTGTTTTTATATCTAAACATAAAAACGTTACAGTAAAAATACATAAACCAGTACCATAGCCATTTGTTATTATCAAGTATTTTGTACTGTCCATAATTGTATGTGGTATACTTTTATATGACCTGCAGCACAGTAGGTTTGTTGGCACCAGCATCACCATAAACACATGAGTAATGCTTTACACTACAGCATTACAACAGCTAGGACATCACCTAGGTAATAGGGATTTTTCAGCTCTACTAACATCTGATGGGACTACCATATGAGCATTCTATTTTCAACTGAAATGTTGTTATGTGGTATATGTCTGCACTTATTCAGTGAAAGACTGAAAGGTTGGGAACAAGACATGGATGCCCACTTTCACTACTGCTATCCAACATTATCTTGGAAATTCTAGCCAGAGCAGTTAGGTGAGAAGAAGAAATAAAAGACCTTCATATTGGCCCTGGCCAGTTTGGCTCAGTGGATAGAGCGTCGGCCTGCGGACTGAAGGGTCCCAGGTTCGATTCTGGTCAAGGGCATGTGCCTTGGTTGCGGGCACATCCCC